AGGTCAAAGTCTCACAGCCCTCTATCATAATCCAGAGTTTTGAGAAGATTGGAGAAACTTAATTTTTCGCCCGAAAAAGAAAAAAAAAACGAAAGGGGTAACACTGTCATTTTTTTTTTCGGGTCGAAATTTTGAATTTCGATATCTCAGCTCTGGAAGGGTCTAGAGCCTCCATTTTTGCACTCAGGTCAAAGTCTCACAGCCCTCTATCATAATCCAGAGTTTTGAGAAGATTGGAGAAACTTAATTTTTCGCCCCGAAAACGGAAAAAAACGAAAGGGGTAACACTGTCGTTTTTTTTTTCGGTCGAAATTTTGAATTTCGATATCTCAGCTCTGGAAGGGTCTAGAGCCTCCATTTTTGCACTCAGGTCAAAGTCTCGTGCCCTCTATCATAATCCAGAGTTTTGAGAAGATTGGAGAAACTTAATTTTTCGCCCAAAAACGAAAAAAAAACGAAAGGGGTAACACTGTCGTTTTTTTTTGGGTCGAAAATTTTGAATTTCGATATCTCAGCTCTGGAAGGGTCTAGAGCCTCCATTTTTGCACTCAGGTCAAAGTCTCACAGCCCTCTATCATAATCCAGAGTTTTGAGAAGATTGGAGAAACTTAATTTTTCGCCGAAAATAAAAAAAACGAAAGGGGTAACACTGTCGTTTTTTTTTTCGGGTCGAAATTTTGAATTTGCGATATCTCAGCTCTGGAAGGGTCTAGAGCCTCCATTTTTGCACTCAGGTCAAAGTCTCATGGCCCTCTATCATAATCCAGAGTTTTGAGAAGATTGGAGAAACTTAATTTTTCGCCCGAAAACGAAAAAAAACGAAAGGGGTAACACTGTCGTTTTTTTTTCGGGTCGAAATTTTGAATTTTGATATCTCAGCTCTGGAAGGGTCTAGAGCCTCCATTTTTGCACTCAGGTCAAAGTCTCACAGCCCTCTATCATAATCCAGAGTTTTGAGAAGATTGGAGAAACTTAATTTTTCGCCCGAAAACGAAAAAAAACGAAAGGGGTAACACTGTCGTTTTTTTTCGGGTCGAAATTTTGAATTTTGATATCTCAGCTCTGGAAGGGTCTAGAGCCTCCATTTTTGCACTCAGGTCAAAGTCTCACAGCCCTCTATCATAATCCAGAGTTTTGAGAAGATTGGAGAAACTTAATTTTTCGCCCGAAAATGAAAAAAAACGAAAGGGGTAACACTGTCGTTTTTTTTTCGGGTCGAAATTTTGAATTTCGATATCTCAGCTCTGGAAGGGTCTAGAGCCTCCATTTTTGCACTCAGGTCAAAGTCTCACAGCCCTCTATCATAATCCAGAGTTTTGAGAAGATTGGAGAAACTTAATTTTTCGCCCGAAAATGAAAAAAACGAAAGGGGTAACACTGTCGTTTTTTTTTTTGGGTCGAAATTTTGAATTTCGATATCTCAGCTCTGGAAGGGTCTAGAGCCTCCATTTTTGCACTCAGGTCAAAGTCTCACAGCCCTCTATCATAATCCAGAGTTTTGAGAAGATTGGAGAAACTTAATTTTTCGCCCGAAAACGAAAAAAAACGAAAGGGGTAACACTGTCGTTTTTTTTTCGGGTCGAAATTTTGAATTTCGATATCTCAGCTCTGGAAGGGTCTAGAGCCTCCATTTTTGCACTCAGGTCAAAGTCTCGTGGCCCTCTATCATAATCCAGAGTTTTGAGAAGATTGGAGAAACTTAATTTTTCGCCCGAAAACGAAAAAAAAAAAGAAAGGGGTAACACTGTCGTTTTTTTTTCGGGTCGAAATTTTGAATTTCGATATCTCAGCTCTGGAAGGGTCTAGAGCCTCCATTTTTGCACTCAGGTCAAAGTCTCACAGGCCCTCTATCATAATCCAGAGTTTTGAGAAGATTGGAGAAACTTAATTTTTCGCCGAACAAACGAAAAAAACGAAAGGGGTAACACTGTCGTTTTTTTTTCGGGTCGAAATTTTGAATTTTGATATCTCAGCTCTGGAAGGGTCTAGAGCCTCCATTTTTGCACTCAGGTCAAAGTCTCACAGCCCTCTATCATAATCCAGAGTTTTGAGAAGATTGGAGAAACTTAATTTTTCGGCCGAAAATGAAAAAAAACGAAAGGGGTAACACTGTCGTTTTTTTTTTCGGGTCGAAATTTTGAATTTCGATATCTCAGCTCTGGAAGGGTCTAGAGCCTCCATTTTTGCACTCAGGTCAAAGTCTCGTGGCCCTCTATCATAATCCAGAGTTTTGAGAAGATTGGAGAAACTTAATTTTTCGCCCGAAAATGAAAAAAAAACGAAAGGGGTAACACTGTCGTTTTTTTTTCGGGTCGAAATTTTGAATTTTGATATCTCAGCTCTGGAAGGGTCTAGAGCCTCCATTTTTGCACTCAGGTCAAAGTCTCACAGCCCTCTATCATAATCCAGAGTTTTGAGAAGATTGGAGAAACTTAATTTTTCGCCCGAAAATGAAAAAAAAAAAAAGGGGTAACACTGTCGTTTTTTTCGGGTCGAAATTTTGAATTTTGATATCTCAGCTCTGGAAGGGTCTAGAGCCTCCATTTTTGCACTCAGGTCAAAGTCTCACAGCCCTCTATCATAATCCAGAGTTTTGAGAAGATTGGAGAAACTTAATTTTTCGCCCGAAAACGAAAAAAAACGAAAGGGGTAACACTGTCGTTTTTTTTTCGGGTCGAAATTTTGAATTTCGATATCTCAGCTCTGGAAGGGTCTAGAGCCTCCATTTTTGCACTCAGGTCAAAGTCTCACAGCCCTCTATCATAATCCAGAGTTTTGAGAAGATTGGAGAAACTTAATTTTTCGCCCGAAAACGAAAAAAACGAAAGGGGTAACACTGTCGTTTTTTTTTTCGGGTCGAAATTTTGAATTTCGATATCTCAGCTCTGGAAGGGTCTAGAGCCTCCATTTTTGCACTCAGGTCAAAGTCTCACGGCCCTCTATCATAATCCAGAGTTTTGAGAAGATTGGAGAAACTTAATTTTTCGCCCGAAAACGAAAAAAAACGAAAGGGGTAACACTGTCGTTTTTTTTTTTCGGGTCGAAATTTTGAATTTCGATATCTCAGCTCTGGAAGGGTCTAGAGCCTCCATTTTTGCACTCAGGTCAAAGTCTCACAGTCCCTCTATCATAATCCAGAGTTTTGAGAAGATTGGAGAAACTTAATTTTTCGCCCGAAAACGAAAAAAAAACGAAAGGGGTAACACTGTCGTTTTTTTTTCGGGTCGAAATTTTGAATTTCGATATCTCAGCTCTGGAAGGGTCTAGAGCCTCCATTTTTGCACTCAGGTCAAAGTCTCACAGCCCTCTATCATAATCCAGAGTTTTGAGAAGATTGGAGAAACTTAATTTTTCGCCCGAAAATGAAAAAAAAAACGAAAGGGGTAACACTGTCGTTTTTTTTTCGGGTCGAAATTTTGAATTTCGATATCTCAGCTCTGGAAGGGTCTAGAGCCTCCATTTTTGCACTCAGGTCAAAGTCTCACAGCCCTCTATCATAATCCAGAGTTTTGAGAAGATTGGAGAAACTTAATTTTTCGCCCAAAAATGAAAAAAAACGAAAGGGGTAACACTGTCGTTTTTTTTTCGGGTCGAAATTTTGAATTTCGATATCTCAGCTCTGGAAGGGTCTAGAGCCTCCATTTTTGCACTCAGGTCAAAGTCTCACAGCCCTCTATCATAATCCAGAGTTTTGAGAAGATTGGAGAAACTTAATTTTTCGCCCGAAAAACGAAAAAAAAAACGAAAGGGGTAACACTGTCGTTTTTTTTTTCGGGTCGAAATTTTGAATTTGATATCTCAGCTCTGGAAGGGTCTAGAGCCTCCATTTTTGCACTCAGGTCAAAGTCTCACAGCCTCTATCATAATCCAGAGTTTTGAGAAGATTGGAGAAACTTAATTTTTCGCCCGAAAAATGAAAAAAAACGAAAGGGGTAACACTGTCGTTTTTTTTTTCGGGTCGAAATTTTGAATTTTCGATATCTCAGCTCTGGAAGGGTCTAGAGCCTCCATTTTTGCACTCAGGTCAAAGTCTCACAGCCCTCTATCATAATCCAGAGTTTTGAGAAGATTGGAGAAACTTAATTTTTCGCCCGAAAACGAAAAAAAACGAAAGGGGTAACACTGTCGTTTTTTTTTTTTTTCGGGTCGAAATTTTGAAAATTTCGATATCTCAGCTCTGGAAGGGTCTAGAGCCTTCCATTTTT